ATCTCCCCAAAACCCCAAAACCCCAAAACCCCTTTCAATCCTGGTAAAATTGAATAAATTAAAGTACAATTTCTTTCTCGTCCCAAGGTCCTCTTGCATCATTCTTAAACCTGTACATATAAATCAGGACACCTGGTCATATCAGGCAGACGAAGACCAGCAAGGAGACATAGAATGATAACCAAAATGTACTAATAAACCACAGCAAATATCAATTGAACATAAAATAAGTTAAAGCGATAACCTTGCTCTTCGGGCGTATATGAGGAGTATATCCAAAAAGCACAGATACGAATAACAAAAATGCAAAAGAATGTGAAGGATTCTTAAACCTTGAGGCTAGCAATACTGTTGTCAAAAATATTCAGTTTAATGAAATAAAGAATCTACCACTTTTACTGTAAGAGCTTTTACCTGAGCTTGCCATTGTGTAATCATGTGTCACCACGTGGAGTAATATTAAGATTCAACAGAGAAGCTTTATGCTGCTAAAGGACAAAGATTTAGTGAACATTGAAAGGATTCTACTGAAGCACCATATCAATACTCCAATTCAAAAGCTGGTCTTTAAGTCACTTAGAAGACCTTTCTTCAAGAAGCTTAAATGGATAATCTTGTTATAAGCAAGGTACGTCAACGGAATGAACAGAGATATCCAATAGATTATTGTGCTATCACATATCATGTCTTTCTTGAGATAATAAAACATTCAAAATAAGAAGATGATATTCCCAATAATATACGAGAATTCTATAGTGTTCGCTACTAATTCTCCATACACAAGTGTTTTCTTACTACTCTTGCTGACCAGTCCAACCAAAAAGTCGTCCCAGATGTAATTACTAGGGAGGGTTACATCAGTTCTCTGATAAAAGTTCCTTGGTCCCTTAGCATATGCTGTCTTATCCCCCTTTATCTTCTTACTTTTGTTAGATTTAGGCATTAATAAATTTAAATTTTAATAATTTAGAGGGGTTTTGGGGTTTTGGGGTTTTGGGGTTTTGGGGTTTTGGGGTTTTGGGG